ATTGAATATTACTGTAAAAAACATTTGTGTAAACATTTTTAATTATAAAACAGTAGGCTATATATAATATAATATAAATATATATAATAATTCACTGAAAAATGTTTTTCAAAAAATGTACTATGACATTACTAACTTAAAATGTTGCTTTCCCATACAAAATTTTTGAAGTAGCTATCAATCAATTTAGATATAAACATATATAACTGTATTTCAATTGTTTGCTATAACAAAATCTTATATAGTGTTTTTACTGATAGATCCTCTAATTAATAGTATTATTTTATGATGCATAAACATAAAAATGGGTTTCGTTTATGTATCCTTAATAATCTTATTGCTTTTCCTTAACCTTTTATTAATAGTTGCTCAAACTTTGACTTTGTTAAATTCCTTTATTTAGTAAAGAGATGAAACTATAAAATCTACAAGTAACTTGATTTTATGCATCTATAGGTATATAGTAAAGATTTATATACAAATAATCAGTTATATATAGTCACATAATAGAGTGTTACTCATATGAACAATATGTCAAAAAGGTGTGGCTTAGCGGTTAAATATGCGTGCATGGTATTTAAAAATTATCAAGGTCTAAGATAAACCTAAAGCCATACATTTTTTTATTTCTTTTAAAATGCAATTCCTTACTCGTGCTTTAGCACTGACACTGCCACGTAATATTACTTGAATAGCTGGCATATGAGCATTCCTAAAGTAACCATGAGAGGCAAACGTCAGGGTTAGCAAACTAAGTACATGTTAATTAAAATTACGGCATTCACCAACTTAAAACAACATGAAAGCATGTTTATTGTTTTCTGAGGGAATTGACTTGTAGAATATTTAATTAAATGCATTTGAACACTTTTTTTAAACAATTGTTTTACTCTTAAAATTATACATGTTTGAAATTTTTTATTTAAAATTATTTAATAATGTCTTTAACTGTATACAACTTTCTTAATACCATTTTTGTTTAACCTATTTAAAATTTGTAATAAATGATATATCAGCAAAAACAAAAACGACAAAATAAACGAATTCATTATGAGTCCATACAATTAATAATCTATGTGCTGTACCTGTTGACAACCACAATTACTGAAACCAATAACCAATAATCATAAAAAGATACTTCATTAATTTATTAACTGAACTGTAATCTTCTAGATAATAAAACGATAAACGGAATCAGTAAAATAAATTAACATAACTTATGTCAGTAATTATATGTAACTTAATAGGATACCAGTACCCATACCATTTTGTTTAGATTTTTAATTAGTTTTAAAAATAGCTGCTATAATTAATTTTAATTAAAAATTAAAGATAAAATTGTAAGATAGAATATGTAGAAATATATGAAGCAAGTTGTGTGCATTATCTTCAAAAACCGTTTCAATAGCAATAATTACTGTAAAAGATACTTTGGGTGTGGTGAGCACAGAAAGATCTATCACTCTGGTTTAAGAAATTCTAGCTGTCCATTTGTTAGATATGAGAATTAATGAAGTTAATGAAAAATGATAATAAAAATTAAAAAAATAATTAAGTAAATAAGAATTTACATTCTACAAATTTATAGATTTTGTATTTAAATAATTTAAATTGTAACCCACAAAACTATTTGTTATATAATTTGTTGGAATATACAGACAATAACAAAATCGAAGTCTATATATTTAGTTATATTTAGTTCTATACTTCAATGACAATTAATTGAACAGCGCAATGTTTTTAGAATAAAAGTTTCTTAAGCAATGCTCCACATTGATTTAGTAATTTTAATTACCGATCAATTAGGTATTATTGAAACAAAGCTGGAATGCAACAATTTTTCAAAAATTATTATGAAAATAACTAACGTTATACCTTTTTTAATTTTATAACTATTAGCACTTTTGACAATAAACATTTTTATTCCATCTCTATTTTTAGAACAATCTATAGATGTTCTCTATAATATAGTATTGCATGCTATCTGATATATTAATTTAGCTTTGCCAATATAAATCTTATTAATATCCCTCTTATCTGGCATGCATTTACGAATTCTCATTAAAAAATGCTTATACGTATAACTTCAGAGACTGGTGCATTAATATAATCTAATTTAATTTTCGTTACATTATTCTTATTCATGTAATGTAGCTTTATATTTTCCACTAAATTATTAAATAATGTACGAGCTTAATCACGACATTGATATAGTTCAGCAAATTAATATCCAGTACTTTCGTAAGCTTGGTCATATCGTTAAAATGGATAACAATGCTCCAAAAGTGCTGCGACAACTTGAAACTTGATAAGGGGTGTTATGACCATTTAAGAAGAAGAAGAAACAACGGTTTCCCACATATGTATATATTATAATTACCACAATTGTAGCATATGTTCATTTTAAAAAAAACTGAAATCCCAAGTCTAACGTATTAATAACGAAATTATATTAAATTAATTTATTTTGTGAAATCATTCTATTAATTAACATATGAAAAAGTTTTTTTCATATATTATGTGAAATTCAATTTCCATCTCTTCATTTAAGTAGCAAAACGTACAATACGTCAACTGTTAATAATAGCAATAATGTCAAGAATATTTATCTTTTACTTTTTATAAATAATATTTCCACATTGTAAAATGAAATATATTTAACCTAAATCAAACGTATTTGTCATTGCTAAACTTTACTACAAAAAATGTTGCCACCCACAAAGAAAATGCAATAAGAAAAAAAAAAATTTTGCTTTCGCTTTAAATGTATAAACTAAAGCAATAAAAAAATTATTACAAAATAATATATAATAAAGAAAAAACTTCAAAAGTTAAGTTCAGTTTTAGAAATATAAATATTTTTTGCGCACATAACGATTGTTATTAACAATCGGTTGGTGGGCGGAAAATATGGGCAGAACGCAACAATTTCAAACAAAATGCCGGAAAGTAAAATCAAAAGCAACAACAACTTGACCCAAAAATTATACTTAAACTTACATGAGCACAAGATGTCGCCTACAACAATAAAAACCAAACAAGCTTAGTAAAACATAAAAACCACAAAACAAAAATATCAAAACAAAAAAAAATAAGATCGTAAAAACAAAACATTACAAAATGCATACAAAAAGATGTAAAGAAAGTTCAAATAAATGAATAATAAAATAAAACAAAATTAAACTGAAATGAAAACGACTAATACAATAGAAATACGTTTATGGGATCAAAGAAACAAAAACTATTTTACGTTGGTATGGTTATAAAATTTAATTTTTTTATTACCCTTAACTGGTTTCTTTTGATAGAAAATGCAGTTAAAACCACTTCAGTTCTCAAAGCAGGTGCTTTTGCTCTTATATTAGACTGCCATAGTGTTGTGTTTTTATTGAAGGATTTTTTTTTTTTGCAAATATTGTGAGACTTTATTGAAAACAAAGTTTTTGAATTTAGTTTTCAGTTCAAGTACATTCCCATATTCAATACTAATTTGTTCTCATTTTTTATTCACTGATATTTAATGATTAGAATATTTAGTTTTATATTATTTAAAAACTTGAAGCTTTAACAAAATAATTTAAGCACACAAATAAATATTATACATAACAATATATTAACATATTATACATAATAATAAATTATAATACCTAATAATATTATTACGTTTAGGCTAATTGAGTCAGTGCATTTGAGCACTTTTACTCTCTATTAACTGCGAGGTTTCCTCATAACCCCTCCTCTCTACACCTTGACTGGATTATTATTTATCACTTTATCAGACTAAGCAATAATTGACCTCAGATCTGCATATCCCCACGAAGAGCTTGTAACTAGTCTGAAATTTGGTAAGCCTGTCAGTTTTCGAAAATAATTACAGGACTTTATCCTTTATGTATTTTGTGATCGAATCAATCTTGAGTTCCCTGAGAATAGTCTTCTCAGAGTCTGGTTTTGTGGAATTTCTAGCTGGCGAATAACAGTGTTTGTGGCCTTGCTAATTTGTTTTACATTTTTTAGAGTTCTTATTTTATCTTAAGTTTTATTATAAAATTGAGCTATTGAGTAGTACTTCTAAAGATTGTTCCTTAACCTTTCTTTTTTAACCTTTGTTCTTTAATGCTCTCATAGCACAACTTTAAAACAATAAATGCTATAATATATTCAAATATTTTTTAAACATCAGTCAAAGTTTTTGTAAGATTATTTTTCAAAATTTTCAAAACTTTAAAATTCGATTGAAAAATAGAATTTCCCTAAATTATTTATGATGCATTAGGAATGGTTAAAATTCCTAGAAATATGATATAAATTATGCTATAAATATATTCGAAACGACATCAAAACTACAACTCTGCTGTGCTTTTAGCATAAAACTACAACATTTCACAAGAAATCGAAACCGACAAACAAATTGTTACTAAATGCACACAAATTTTTTTCACACATGCAACAAATCGAAAAATGCGTTAGACGAAACCAAACAACAACAAAAAATAGGTTTAATAAAACAAAAGCACCAAAGGAAGTTGAATATCTATTTAATTAATATTTTTTCTTTTTTGTTTTTTTGCAGCAAAATGAAATTTATTTGAAGCTTTTTGAAATAAGCAAGATAAAAAACTCGGTTGTTTAGTTGTTTGGTTTGCAGCTGCATGAAATGCTAAAAAGAGCAACAAATGAAAATTCAAATGAAAATTGTGCTACACTCGACAACGATAGCAAACAGAGAGCGAGCGGCAATGGCAGGCAACATTAGCCAGCACATAAACCATTGCTAAGTCAGCACTGACACCAGTAGAGCGTAGAGCAAACGGCAGCAAGTGGCAATGAGTGACCCAAATTCAAGACACGCATTAATTAAATGTTAATATA